CCTATCGATAAAAGTAGAGAAAGGGCCTCCTGGTCAAAGGAAAAAAAGCGGTGTCTTCTTTTTCTAGAAAAAAATACTTTGCATTTAGAAAAAGATATGCAATGGAAAATTGAGGGGGATTTTAGCTTGCAAGATCCTCTCAGTCCCCTTCGCCCCCCCTTGATACCCACCAAACCGAACGTACAACCCGTCTGAAGTTTGTGGACGGCAACCAAATGATGAAATGAATAAAGTATCTGGCCTTGAGCCTTTTCCGCAAAAGAAGAAAAGAAGTGAATATGTATCGCCTAGACCTTTTTTTTCCTTTAGAAAAGTATATAGGAGTATCATTCATACTCTTTTTTTTTTTGCATGAAGTATCATTCAGACTCTTTTGCTCCAAAATGTAACACCTTATGTGTATAACCTGCTGAATTTATGGAAAATCACCGTAGCACGATCCTAGAGCCGTACAAAGAGTGAAGTCCCAACGAACGGACGAGATCTCTCCATCCTCCGACGCCGCGACCCCTGGCTGGGAGCCGGACACATCGCACCCACCTCGCCCGTGCGTCCACCGTCGCCGCGAGCTCGAATTCCCCTCGAGCCACGTCTGCCCGCGTGAGGACACGTAAAGCCTCCCTTCCCATGTCCCCACATGTCACACACCCACGAGGCTCGATTATACTTAACCCTCTCCCCCCGCCTCCCCCCGTCTCCTTCTCCGGTCGCCCAACCGAGCAGGGGTGTCGCCATTGTTGTCGCCTCTCTCTCGCAGGCCGCCTCCGCATCCGTCACTAGGCCACGAGACCTAGGATCCCCCGCCCCCTCGCTGTGACCACGCCGCGATGTGGTGGAGGGCGGTGGCCAGGGCTCGCCGCCGGATCCCGGGAGCGCGGCCCGTGTCGACGGCGGCGGCGGGGAAGAGCGGCCGCGAGGTGGTGGTGCCGCGGTTCGGCGGGCCGGAGGTGCTGGAGGTGAGGCAGGGGGTGCCCGCGCCCGATCTGAAGCCCGGGGAGGTGCTCGTGCGCGCGCGCGCCGTCTCCATCAACCCCCTCGACCTGCGAGTGAGCACTCCCCCCCATTTTGGACACCCCCTCCCCACCTTGGGACTTAGCGGAACTGTCTGGTGAAACAGTCGTTTCCTTTTGTTCTGACACGCGGGGAATCAGGATTAGCTTGGGCCGTTGGGCGCCTGTTTTTATCTGAACCGATCACATTGTAGGAATTTATTGGCCACTCACTAATTTGTTGCGATGTTTGCTACTGAATAGTGTGAGGATTACTGCCATTTCAATGAAAGACTGCTATAATATACATTAGAGTTAATACATTTTTGGTCCCAGATGACACATGATGTGTGTTACCAGAATATTAGATGTACTTTTCTGTTCTCAGAATAAATGAATCTGCTTGCAGATTATATCAGTCTGGTGCTAATTGTTGGAGTGTTTATACTTGGTAAATGTATTGTTTGTCGGCAGATGCGGGCTGGCTATGGCCGTTGCATATTCGAGCCACTCCTACCTCTCATCATTGGCCGGGACATCAGTGGTGAAGTCGCAGCTACAGGGACTTCTGTGTCGTCATTCTATATTGGGCAAGAAGTGTTTGGTGCCTTGCATCCAACAGCGATTAGAGGGACATGTGCTGATTATGCAGTTCTTTCACAGGATGAGCTTACGTCTAAACCATCTACGCTCACTCATGTGGTATGAGCTCACTGAAATCCTATCCTTTGCAGTCTACCATTTCTTAAAAAGTCTAATTCAGGATTACTTTCAGTTTGTCCACCTAGATTACTCAATAGTTTTACTATAATGATTTGATCTAGTTTTGGGCATATACCCTGTTTCAGTCTCTAATATATACAAGACATTTTTTTAATCAGTTTCAAGGTTGCACATTTGGTAGTTCCCGCAAAGGGTCTGTTATTTTTTACATTTGGTGATGGAGAGAAGAATTTTGTTTTTTCTGAAGTTGATGACTGAAGACATAGTGTTTAGTTTGATTGCCTGCTTGAAAAAGGCTCCTTACGAGCAGCGAGAGCTAATTTTTGTTTATATTACAGGAGGCCAGTGCAATTCCGTTTGCTGCGTTGACAGCGTGGCGTGCTTTATATGGTACTGCTGGAATTTCTAAAGGGTATGTTCTATTGCACACCACAGTTTGACAAGTTGCCTTTGTTGCTGTTTCTTGTGCATTGGTTGCACATTGGTTGATTTACTGAATATTGTTAATATGGCCGCTATTTACTGCTATGTTCATGATCTAGGTACGTATGCATTAGATGGTTTCTGAATTATGCTGAATTTCTTTGGCAGTTATATTTGTGCTCCTCCCATTTGCGTATTCAGCAGCTAACCAGAAGCATGCTACTGTCAAAAGTTAATTCATTTGAAGTTTTAGGAATATTTGTTATATTTTGCGCTACAGTTCCTGCTTCCCTTTTGATTGTTCTGAAAACCAATCTGTTAGTTAGGCCAGCATTCCTGATTAAATGCCAGCATATTAAAGTTTATTTTTTCCATTCTTACGAACTGGTTGCAATCAATTTTTATTTTAGACAAAGATTACTTGTGCTTGGTGGAGGAGGAGCAGTTGGGCTTTCTGCTGTTCAGCTTGCGGTAGCTGCAGGGTGTAGTGTTTCAGCCACCTGTGGAGCCCAAAGTATTGAGCAAGTTTTGGCAGCCGGTGCTGAAAAGGCTATTGATTACGCCACTGAGGTAAAAATCCTTCAGAAGTCAGAACTCTTGTCGTTATCCATAATGATGCAGTAAAGTCTCTTGACCTTCTAATATTTTGACCTCAACAACATAGCGAAGTCATGTATATGTATGTCCCTGGTTCGTGTAGATATTTCACTGTACAATGATCATTCTTTGTCTTAACAGAATAGGAATGCATATAGTGGGATAGTTACGTATTAGTATGGTACTCAAGACACGACATTTCGTTTCTGTCGCTTTTATCTAGCACTGTAGTTTTATGGCCACATGAGCTGGTAAATTCATGCATAAATGGAAAAAAGGGGAACCTAGAATCACCACTTTTTCAACTCCACTTTGCTCTGTGATGCTGAACACAAGGGACTGCTAGCTGTTGTGTATCATTATCTCCTTTTATGTTTTTGCTGAATCTCCCATTTCTCTTCGAGGCTATGAAGCAGCAAAATTAATTATGCAATTTGGCAGGATGTGGTTAGTACGTACAGAGTGGCTTTACTTAGATCTATTGTTACTACTATTTCTTTCGTTGCAAAATTGCAGTACGGCAATACTTGCAGATTTATCAATCATGCTCTTGGTGCCAGTAGTTCTGTATGTGAGCTTGAGCAGTCATGCAACTCCATGTGTCTGTGTGATCTGCTGTATAAATATAAACATAACATTCTGAAATTGTTAGTTATTCTCCATATCTGAGAAAGCATGAAAGAACTTTGTGTCAGGGGTAAGGAATCTTTCTGCAGTTTGATGAAATAGTTAAAGCCGCTACCCTCTCATATATTTTGATTCTCTTTTCAAGAAATTCCTAGCCTTGAATACCATTTGCTCCATGATTTTTATGTTTTATACATTGTACACTACAGGATGCTGAATCAACGGTTACAGGAAAGTTTGATGCCGTGTTAGACACAATAGGAGTGGCTGAAACTGAAAGAATTGGCATTAATCTTCTGAGAAGAGGCGGGCATTATATGACCCTTCAGGTAATCAATCTGCACGTTTAATCTTTCGGTGTTTTTCTTTTGTTTCTCCTTTCCTTATTGTCTTTCCTTTTACGTGATTAGGGAGAGGCAGCTTCACTAGCAGATAGATATGGATTATATGTGGGACTTCCTGCTGCTACCGCTACTTTACTGAAGAAACAGATGCAGTATCGTTGTTCTCATGGAATAGGTAAAGAGCTCCGTTGACATGTATATTTTGATCCATTCGTATAATTTGTTTAGGAACTTGGTCAGTAACTGGCAAAGAAAATGCTGTTTTTGCAACAAAAAAGAAGAAGAAGAAGCAAGAAATACAAAGTGCTTTCTTTAGTTGAGTTATTACAAACACTACTAGGATTTGGTTGTTGCAGTTTTATAAAATGCTTTACCTAGCTATCTAGGTAGCATACATATATTCCATTATCTGTGTAAGATGTTGGTCTTAACAAATGCCGTTCCCATCCAATCTAATATAATTTCAGAGTACTGGTGGACATACATGAGAGCTGATCCTGACGGTCTCCATGAGATCCAGAGGCTGTCGGGAGCTGGAAAACTACAGATACCGGTCGAGAAGACTTTTCCTATCAGCCAAGTAAGAGAAGCTCATGAGGCCAAGGAGAAAAGGCTGGTGCCTGGCAAGGTGGTTCTAGAGTTCGACTAGTGTTAACAGGGTTTTGTCCGACAGCCACGGAAGGACCGACGTTCCTTCTTAATTGTACCATGATGTTTATTTTTGTCTTTTCTTCAAAAAAAGTTGTGCGGCTTAATTTGCTCGTTCTTTAGGTAGTACTCCAAAGGTTATTTTGTCAGGAATTAGTGCAAATGCAGTAAATAATGATATGCAATACGAAGAGACTTAAATCAAAGGATCCCACTCATTATTATTTTCAGGTGCATTTTGTCCCGCCAGAATACGTTTGTGGATGGACGTTGAACGAGCTTCCTCTCGATGTTCCTTCTGTGTTCTGCTAATAGTCCAATACCAGAGTCCTTAAAAATCACTTTCATGCCAGAAGATATTACCACTTGAGTTGTTACCTTGATTGCTCTCTAATATTAGTATTACTCTGAAGTCTGAACACGAAGTAACTACAATTCCAGGCACCTCATTACCACCAGGAACATATCATCCTCTGATGTCAAAAAAAGAAAGGGATATCATCCTCCATCGACAGCTCCAATTCAGACCAAACCTCTCGGGACACACTATTCACAACACGCGCTACACAAATCTCAGCGCTGGTTTGCAAACGCGATGGAATCATTCAAGGAACTGCCTACAGAGGCGATCTGCATCTGCCATCGGCAGCTAAGCAGCCGTGGGCTGCTGAGCTGCTGGCTCTGGCTCTGGCTCTGCCTGGGCGGCGCCGGAAGTAAAGGCCCTTGGAAGAACCCACGGCCACCCGCCCCCTACCCGGGTCACCCGCTCCACCTCGGCCACCCTCAGCTTCATCATCTGCTTTTCCCTCTCGAGCTCCTCCATCTTCTCCTTTATTTCCTGACATTTTTATAAACATGAAAAAGAGTTGATCATCTCCGCACAACTCTTGGCAAGATTGTATGTAGGGCATGAACCAAATTAACTGTCAGCGATTTGCTTTGTCTCTTGATATGTAAGTGCAGGATAAAAATAACTGTTAGTAATTACTTATAAATCTGAAGTCTAGAGAGTAGAGTCCACAACACAGGTTACTAGCACTTTCTGTCGTGTACTTGATCGTGATATATCCTAGAAATCTCATGTTTTCCATTAAAAATATGTTAGTGTGAAAACTGTGTCTCTCAGTGAGAACAATTTGAACCAATCATCTTTTTTTTCTTTTTCAAAAAGGTGAGTACCCTGGCCTCTGCATCAATGTGATGCACACAACCATTTTATTAAAAGTGAGAGTATCAGAGAGTGATGGAAATAAAAAGAAAACACGGCCACAACTGATCGGACCATGAACCAATCATCTTACCTCGAGCGCCTTCTTACGGGCCTCTTCTTTTCTGGCTTCTGACTTGCCACTTCTATGAACCTCAAAGATTATTGCACCACAAGCAACCTGAGAAATTACATGGGAGTCCATGTCAGTTGTAAGAGCAGTGCAGTTGTAATCATCTGCCATCATACAATCATCAAGTATTTCTAGGGGTCTGAAGATCTGGGACAGTTAATGATAACAGAAAGCAGATTCTTGAATTGTTGGGTTTTTAGTTTTTCCATATGCATTACAGAAAGCTGTTAATAACTCAACAGTCCATTCTGGTCCAGAGTACTTACCGAGAAAATGAACAGTTCACCAAGAAGATCTGTAGCAGCTTGAATAGCTTTCTCTTCATTCAGGGGCCGAATGTGAATGTCAGTTGCACGTCCAATAAGTCGCCTCTGCATGTTTGTTGCTAAACGATGGTTTGCCTGAACATAGTGTGATATACACCTTGTCAGTACAGCAATCACATTCTCATTATGTATTATATATACTATTGTTTAGTACTCTATACAAGACAAACAGAGCACATCCAAATTTAAATTTCTTTGAACAGATCAATAAACTATAAACTGTAAGCAAAATTGTTAAAAAGTTCTTGTACGAGTAAATCTCAACCGAGAACTTCTTTGAAGTGTTCCACAAGGATTGAACATCATCATCAACAATACTTCACATCTATTTCCTTCGCGACACATACGCTCTATCCACATGCATCAATAGCATACACATAAGTCCTTTCATTGTCAGCAAGAAGTAACGTGACATTTTGATGGTGATCATTGACAAATGTTGTTCACACAGAGTTCCATGATCATTCTAAACTGATCTGTAAGACTATAAGGAATCACTGTAAACTGTCATCACTTAGATAATCCTTTTGTGATATTAACACCAGCATTCAGAATTTCAGAACCTCAAAAAACTACCGTGTGTCCACATTACAGAACTTTTGGCGTCAGATAAGGTTGCACCAACAATCTGAATCAACTACATTGGCGTTCACAGGAATCAAATTCCCCCGAAACAACAGTGCGAGTGGTTGATAGAACAGGGTGACCTAAATCGCCAATTATCCCACACGCCTAAGCATGAAATCGATTCGATTTTGCGACATATCAAAGCAATGCTGTCACCAACTTATAATTAACCAGTAAAAACAGAGGCAGGTCCTCACGCCTTTTCTAATAATCATTTTGTCATGCACTTCCCCCGCTTAAAATCATCAAGAGAGAGAGAGAGAGAGAGAGACAAAGAACACGGAAGGAAGATCCGCTCCGGTCCTCCAAACCGTACTGGACAGAAGCGATCAAGAAGTGCAAGCGCTGCCCCAACTTCCAGACACCAGGATCAGAGGCACGGGCAAGTCAAATGGGGGATGAACTGACGGAACGTCACCTGCGCGACGTCGATGATGAATCCGCGGAACCTGGGGTGGATGCCGGCGTTGCGCTTGAGTTTATTGGCGACGGGCTTGCTCAGCGTCCGGAACGCGAGCAAGCCGAGCTTCATCAATGGCAGCACCATCGTCGGTCCTCCGCCGGTGCTCGCGAAGGGGAGAGAGGAGGCGGCGTGGGTGTGGGGGCGCAGGCGGCGTGGCGGAGTTTGTTGTTGGTTTGGTTTGGCTCTACTTTTCTTGGAGAGGAAGGAGAGGGGACTCTTGAGGAAGGACGGGCAGTTGTTCGCTTATTGGCCAAGCTGGTCGCCAATTTCCCCGTGTCCGTGAACAATTCATCAATAAACTTATTGTCCAAGTTTGCCTCTGCTTCCATAGAACGTACGGAGCAGAACCCCAACACACACACACGTATGTATCTCTGCCTCCACAGTCACGTATGTATGCCTTCTCTTTGGTCGTACTATTGGAGTATCTTTTAAGATAGCACAAAATAAATCCATACTAACCAGACAATACATATGTGTTTAGAGCAACTTTAGCAAAGTCATTATATCGTCCCAATCGCCGTAATAATGACTATTTTGGCCGAAAAGACCGCTCCTAGCAGAGTAGCCATCCCCTCTATCGCCATAGTTTTTGGAGGCGCTTCAAATCAAGCCCGCGAGCCTTCATATTTGACGGTTGTACGATGATATTTGGGGGTCACACCATCTCGAAAACGGTTTGGCGCGACTGACATTTCCCCCTCCCGCCGCCTACCTTCCCTCGCCATAGCTCTGCCTTTGACTACTTCCGGCCATCCCTAGTCCCTGCCGATGATGTTGAACACCGTCTCGACCCCCGCGTCCGATTCCATCGGCATGGAGTCAAATCCCGTGACTTCAACAATGGTTGCGCCTCCTGCACCTTCGACGGCTGGCCACCACTGCCTAGGGCAGCACCTTGTCCTCACTACCGACGCGAGTACGACGCTGAGGTGGCAACCTATGCCACCGCTTGCAGGCGTCAACCTTCCCAGCCGGTATAGAAGGGGCCGAAGAAGAAGACAAGGGCCACGCCGTTGCCCCTCCCCGTTTCGTCCCGGCGGGAGGAAGAGAGGAAAGGAGAAACTCAAGGAGTTGGTAAATACAAGAATTGAGTACGTCCAGTATAATAAGCAAGAAAACCGGAGATGGAGGAGAAGAAAAACCAAGAGAAGAGGGCGAGATGGAATGCTATGCAAGAGAAGAGATGACATCATGAAGAGATGGGGGCACGTATGCTCCAAATTCAGGATAATAGGGCGACAACTGAACACATTGAGTCAGATAATTGGTTCATCATGTTGGATGTGAATCAAATGGATCCAGTGGCGCGAGAATTTTTGAGAGACGGCGTGAATGGTGCTCATACGTTACAGGAACCTCGAAGGAGGAGACAATGCTCACACCAGAGGAGGGGACGATGCACACACCAGAGCAAAGGACGGTGCAAGCGCCGGAACAAGGGGACGGTATATCCATCGGAGCAGGATATGGTGCCACCTGAATACCTGATGTCCAATATAAGGTCAGCATGCAAAATTAGTGCCAAATTGCCAATTCCAACGGTCCCTGGAAAAAACATATCATTGGTCGCAACAAGCAAAGCATGAAACATTTGACTGCATATTCACAACAAGGATCATGGCAATCAGGGTTATGTTTAAGTAGCTTGGATATGGAATATGACTTCACCTCCTAGAGGTGTCAAGTCCATGAGCAATAGTAAATTCCAGCCATATATAACCCCAAATGGATAACCTCACATGGCATAACATTGCCAACGGCTATGGAATATCCCAATACACAATAAACCACCAGAAAGTGTCAGCATTTCATTCTTCAATATGTGAAGCATGGTGAATGCAAATATACCATGTGCCATCTATCTTCTCGAAGACGTTGGTGGCAATTTGCTTCCCCCAAGATTTTCCTTTGGTCTTAACCAACTCCAAGCATGTAACATAACCAAGGTCACCACGCACATGAACCTCTATGTTCTTAAGATCAATGTTTAGAGGGAATTCATAATCCGCGTTGCAAACCATCTCCCAGCTTTGCAAGACCACATCGTGACCGGATATCCGACCTGCACCGGGATGGACAACATACACATGGTCTCCTTTAGCCCAGATAGAGTACATTGCAGTAAAATCTCCATTCTTGAAAGCGTTGTAGAATCGTGTATTTGCTGCAAGGACGGAAGCCTCAGTATCCTCATGGAGGACGCGCAGATCGTCCCTGATTTTGGCAGCATGGGCATAATCTTCTTCCCGGATAGCTCTGTCCAAATTACGCTGAAGGGTTTCTTCGTCAGCTAACTTATCTTCTTCAGTTTTTGGATAGCCATCAGCCTCCCCACTTTTAACATGGCAAATTCTGGATCTGTTAAAGTTGGAGGCTGCAATTTGAAGCCCTGCACTGAACGTGTGGCATTATGAGAATAGCACATGGTTTTGTTTCTACTTGATTCCTGTTGAAAAGTATTATATCATTCATGACCACTTTCGGCTAGATTCAAGTATCAGAAAATGTCTCATTCAGAATTACAGTTCCGAAGAATGTTCTAACTTATGCAGAAAATTACTACTCTCAGAAATACTCTGTAGCATCAGAAAAATACAAGTTGCACATTCTAGCCTTCTAGGTTCACAAGTGGAGCTAGACACATTAGCAATTGATGTTATCTTCTAGTAAACCTCTAATTTGCTCGAGTAAGTTCACGTTCAGCTAACTCTTGTCTAGGTCTTCTGTAAGTTAGGCCAGTTATATAAGATCATATGAGACAGTGCTAATATGCCACCACACAAGCGCATATTGGCATCTACACTACACAATCCAATTCCATAGCTGCATAACTAAAGTCTGACAGAAATAAATTATGCCCCAGAACTGCTGAAACATGGAAGCTGCGGGGCGCCCGACGGTGCGAGAACCGGAAGGAAAAAAAAATCCCAACCAAATTGAGTGGTTGGAGCAAGAGCCAGGGGATTACTGCGTGGGCTTATGCAATCAGACCAAGAAACCGAGAACAATAGCCAAGAAAGGGGCCTCACAAGGTTCTCTCCGCACTGCGTCGTCGGATGCAGAGGCGAGCCGGGGAGGGGTTGTGGTTATCGGTGAAGAAGAACGCCACTTCCCTGAGCGGCGCACTCGCGGACGGCCGCAAGATGGCGCTCGCAGCCTGCGCCGCCGACATCGCCGGGAAATAAGTCGTCGCAGCCGCGAAGGCAGGCTATTCTCCGGCTGCTCGTGTTTATCTTTGACTCTCTCTGTCGTCGCTCGGAAAATTGGATCTTTTCCCCCACTTTACTTCCCACTTAGGTAATTTGCCCCCTGAAAGACTGCCGGGTAGGGCCGGAGCCATTGGTCATTAAGACAATTCTGATGTAAATCATCTAACCCTTTGTAAAATGGGACAAATCATCTAATCTCCCCGTTGTGGTCGCTCGGCTTCGTTGTTATTTTAGGAAAATTATATTACGAAATCGTCCATGTGGTTATGTAGTTTTGCACTTTCCAGCGAAGTACTCATATACTTGAAAATACAAAACAATATTTGCAGGTGTGATGATTTCTTTTTCAGAAAAAAATCAGATCTATTACAAAAGTTCACCGAAAATACAGAACATCTCAAACATAATAAAAATTACATCGAGATTTCAATCAATTGAACTACTACTATTACCGCCAGAGCGAGCGCCGAGAGCCGGCTAGACATCGACGCCTTCGCCTCCTCTTCGAGATCCGCCCGCTCCGACTTAACCCCACAGTTGCGATCCCCACCTCCGATCAAAACCCTCCTCCATCGTATGCTAGGTTCTCGGGGAAGAACACACGCGCGAACAAATGTCATTTCTTGGTTTGGCAGGACAAATCATTTGGGAGGTGGGAAAACGCGAGGGGAGGGCTCTCGCGACTCCGCCCTCCCGCTAGTTCGCGCCGCCACCTCGCGACGGCCAGAGAGCCTCTTCCTCCCCGGCTCCCCTCGCCTCCGCCCTTCTTCGCCCTCCTCGCCGCCGCCCGCATGGGCCGCCGGGTAAAACCTGGTTTGCTTGGGTGGCGGCGGGGGTTTTCTTCTCCCCGTCTGTCTCCGGGGGCGGGGTGTGGCCGATCCTGCGGGGCCGCGACGGCGGGGCTGCGGGTCGCAATGTTGGTGACGTGGGCGCTCACTACTAGGGAAAAACTTATAGATAGAACCGTAGCAGTAGCGCGGTCTAAAGACCAGGTGCTACTTGTAGGTAGCAGTAGCGTGGGTGTATAACACGCGCTACTATTAAGGAAGTAGCAGTAGCGCGTTCCTCCAAACATGCGCTACTACTATTTATACACGGGCCCGGCTCCCAGTCACCACCTAGCAGTAGTGCCGTTTACAGGACCGTGCTACTACTATGGGCACCTTATCTACCCCGTCGTTTCCCCTATCTCCCTCACTCTTCCCCTCACACTCTCTCTTTCTCTGTCGCCGCCTACCGTTGCAGTTGTCGCCATCGAGGTATATGCGTCCTTCCCTCCTCCTCCGGTCGCCTTCCTCCCTCCTCCCACTGTCCTCCTCACTCCTCCCACTGCCCTCCTCCCTCCTCCTCCGGCCGCCCTCTCCTCC